ACCTATGCCTGAGGCACTGTCTACCTCACTCTCTTTAAGGACCACAGACCCAGATTCTTAGGGACCCCTTGCCTGATTGTTACTCACCTGAGCTTTATCTTCATGATCTTCCAACAAATCAGTGTTTCTGGAATTTACAACTATGCCCCAGGCAAACTTTCCTAGATCAAATCTTTCCGTGAGTGAAAGCTATTTGCCACACAGTGCACATGACAATCAGTCTGTCCCATTCCTGCCCTTACCATGAACACAGGGGCAATGCCCCACTAGAAACTCTCCTCAAGGGTTTTCTCCACTCCATCGAGTTAGGTCAGACTTAGAGAAGGGGCTTGAGTCTTCTGCAGCTTTAGGGAAGAGGGTCTGCCTTGTTGATGCAGGAAGAAGGCACTGACTTCTTCAGACTAGAGCAGCTGCCATTTTTTTCCCCAGAAGGCTGTGGGACTTGGCAGCCATTCGGGGTATCCTGAGGAGGAACATCCCAGCCTTACCCAGCTGTGAGGAAACTGTGATCTAACCTGGGCCTGAAAAAGAAGAGTCTCTACGGGAAGCCACCATCATCTTAAAGATTCAGAAGCAACCACTAGCCTGTAATCCCCAGAGTAAGTACACAGTGCATGCGTGGATTTTGAGACAATGAGAGACTTGGTTTTTCTTCCTCCCCTGGTTCCATTGCCTCTCAGAAAACAGAATTTTGGTTGCCAGAGTCAGGTATTGCGGCCTTGTATGTGACTTTCTGGGCTCGGTTACTATTTCAGCAGGGCCCCCATGAACCCTTTTGTATGTGTCCTGGGTTCACAGGGGTTGGTATATAAGGAATCCTTCATAAGCTGCCCTTTGAATATCTTTGGGAAGATTAAAGAGATTAGGGGGAAAACTGAGGAGATGTGAAGTATAGTTTTAACCCCCCGTTGAGAATACACTTTTAGTTACTACTATGTGGGGCCCTAATTCTGAAGGAAAAAGTGTACCTTGTCATATGGAAAGTGCCCAGGAGCAAGGTGGATGAGCTTGGAGGCCAGGAACTACTTATCCTAATCAAAGGATGAAAGTATGAATGCATGAAGGTTGGGTTCTATTTACCCAGTCTTCATGCACTTATACTTTCATCCATTTGGGTGAATAGAACCCAAAGTTCATGCATTCATACTTTCATCCATTTAGCCACATATCCATCTAGTCATGTACTTACCCTTTCCTTCTGTCTGTCCACTCATTCATCCAACCAATTTTTCATTCATCAACTATTATTATTGATCCATTCATCCATTTCTTCATGCATTCCATACAACATTTACTTGATACCCACCATGGATCAGACACCACTTGTGCTTCAACAGTGAATGACATACATCTAGTTGCTATTCTTATTCAGTGAAGAAGACAGACAATGAACAAATACACATAAATATATGATAAAATTTCAGACAGTGTTAAGTGCTATAAGGACAAACAAAGTACGGTATAGGAATAGAAAGTGGTGGGGGATATTCTATTTAAGATACTGTGGCCAGGTTGGGCACAGTGACTCATACCTGTAATCTCAGCACTTTGGGAGTCAGGAGGATCACTTGAGGTCAGGAGTTTGAGACCAGCCTGGGCAATATGGCGAGGCCTCATCTCTACTAAAACTTAAAAAAAAAGGCAAGATGATGCATGCCTTTAGTCCCAGCTACTCAGGAGGCTGAAGCGAGAGGATCACTTGAGCCCAGGAGTTTAAGGCTGCAGTGAGCTCTGATTGTGCCACTGCACTCCAGCTTGGGTGATAGAGTGAGACCCTGCACCAAAAAAAAAACAAAAAAATTGTGGTCAGACAGTGCCTTTCTGAAATGACATTTAAACAGAGCTTTTGGTATAATAAAGGAGGAAACAACAGAAATACCTGGGGATGGAGTTACAGGGAGAGGCAGTTGCAAGTACAAAGATCCTGAATTGCCTCTGTTTGAAGTGAGAGAAATTTAGTGTGGCTGGATCATAATGAGAGTGTGCGCAATGGCAGAAGATGAGATAGAAGATGAGGCAGACCAATTGGCACCCTGAGGTCATAGGGAAGAATTTGGATTTTATTCTGATTGTGATGGAAAGATACTAATGGCCTGGGAGCAGATGAATCATATCATCTAATTGATGTTTTTAAAAGATTGCCCTGTCTTCTGTCTGGAGAATTAATAGAGAAGGAAGCCAGAGGAGAGGCAGGCAGATGGGATAGAAAGCTGTGGCAGTAGTATATATCAGAGATGATGGACTGGGGTAATGGGGGAGGAGTGATGAGAAACAGATGGGTCTTGAATGTATTTTAAAGGTCATTGAAGATCAGGTGCGGTGTCTCATGCCTGTAACCCCAGCACTTTGGGAGGCCAAGGCAGGCGTATAATTTGAGATCAGGAGTTTGAGACCAGCCTGGCCAACATGGTGAATCCCCGTCTCTACTAAAAATACAAAAAATTAGCCAGGCATGGTGGCGCATGTCTGTAATTCCAGCTACTGAGGAGGCTGAGACAGGAGAATCGCTTGAACCTGGGAGGCAGAGGTTGTAGTGAGCCAAGATCGTGCCATTGCCCTCTAGCCTGGGTGACAGAGTGAGATGCCATCTCAATAAATAAATAAATAAATAAAATAATAAAATAAAATAAGGGTCATGAAGACATATGATTGGATGTTAAAGGGAATAGAGGAGGGAGGAATAACTAATAGACATTTGGCCTGAGATATCAGGTCAATAGCTATGCAGTTTCCCGAGGTGAGGAACAATGGCAGAGAACCAGATTTCTGTTGGGAGGATGAGTTGTCCAGAGTACTTTTCAAGATATCTTAGGTTGTGGATATCTTTAAGATTGCTAAGTGCAAATATGGATGGGAGTATAGAGCTTGTGGAGAAAGTTGAATCCAAATATTAAAAGGTGGGGGTAAATCAGTGGCATTTAGTCACAGGACTAAGATAAGCTTGGTAGAAGGGTACCATAAGCTGAGAACTGATTCGAAACACTCCATCTATCCACCACCCACAGTCATCCACTCTTCCATCCAGCTATCCTTCTACTCAACCAAAAATGCTTAGTATCGAATGTTCAGCTGAGTGCTAGGATTTAAAGGTGAACAATTTTATGGCCCCTGTTTTGGAAAGGCTCACATTCTAAGGAAAAGCAGCACACGTAACAATGAATTAAAGCCTAATGCATCATATAATAGAGGTGTGCACATGAGGCTGTGGATCATGGAGAAATCAACTCTCAACTATCCTTCTGGAAGAAGCTTGGAAAGACTAAGACGATGTTTATCTTTAAAATAGACCCTAAAAGAGAATTAAGCATTGATAAGGATACCAGCATTCCAGAAAGAAAGAACACCATGAACAAAAGCATAGCGCATGAGAGAGCTCATGGTGTCGTTGGTGAAGGGCGGAAAGATCTTTGATTCAGGTACGGGATAAGACACATGGTAGAAAGTGGTATGGCAAGGGTTAGAAAGCTTTGTGCAATATGGCAAGGAATTGGGCTTTCTCTGTGGGTCATGGGGCATCAAGCTAAAGGTTTTAAGTAAAGGAGAGGTGGAACTGACATGGTCAGATTTGGGATGTAGAAATGTCACTTGATCTGAAGACAGGGGTTGTCAAACAAAATTCAAATCTGGGTCTAGTAAAGAGAGACTTTGTTCAAAAGGTTTTTGCAGAGGGAGAGAGGGATTCTTGCAATAGGGGGAGAGGACCTATTGCAATTGGGAGAATGCTCTGACAATAGATTTGCAGCATCTCAGGGTTAGGCAAAAGGGTTTTTCTTTTATAGGGAGGAGTAAACAAAGCTAGAAAGATCAGGGTATAGGAAAGTGAGATGAACAGGAGATGCATAATTGGGCAGAAGATGGATAGATGGGGAATTTAAGACTTGCCTATTCCCAGGAGGAGCTGTTAGGGTGAGGATTTAGGCTGGCTCAGACTGAGATTTGGCCAGAGTTCAAGGGCCTGGAGAAGGACAGAAGCTTAACCAACATTTGGTTAACAAGCATTTCGTTCTGACTGATCAGTGGAGATTTCAGTTAATCATTTATGAGGCAAAGAATAGGCATTTGGAGGGCCTGTGTCTGGCCTTGGTATGGATAAACAAGGCGGGAGTGCCTTACCTATGTGACATAGGTAAGACTCCTATTCTTGTCACCCCTGTTTATCTCACTTTCCTATACTTTGTTCTTTCTAGCTTTATTTACTTCTTTCTAAAAGAAAAACCTTTTTGCCTAACTCTGAGATGCTTGCAGATTTATTGTCAGAGAATTCTTCCTATTGCAATAGTTCCTCTGTTCCTATTGCAAGATCCCCTCTGTACCTATTGCAATAAGGGTGTTCTTGGTAAAGGTCAACATTATCAGGGTCAAGGCTACAAGTACAGGAAGTGCACAGGAAGACACAATCTAGGTATGGGACAGTGGCTAAGCTCTTGGCTGAAATCCCAAAGCCAAGCCAAGAATTGTCTTGAATTCCATGCCTCCCTCTACCTTCTCCTCTTGCACAAAGGGGAGAAGTCATTTCCCCTTTGTACAAACATTAAGCCTGCCTGAAACATTAGCAATTGATATGGTTGGGTATTTGTCCCCTCCAAATCTCATGCTGAAATGTGATCACCAGAAGTTGGAGGTGGGGCCTAGTGGGATGTGTTTGGGTCAAAGGGGCAGATCCCTCGTGAATGGCTGGGTAATAAGTGAGTTCTCTATTAGTTCAGGAGAGAGCTGGTTGTTTAAAGAAGCCTGACATTTCTCTCTTGCTCTCTCTCATCCTGTGACACACAGGCTCTACTTCCCTTCCGCCACGACTAAAAGCTTCCTGAGGCCTCACCAGGAACCAAGCAGATGCGGGTACCATGCTTGTACAGCCTGCAGAATAATGAGATAAAGAAACCTCTTTTCTTTATAAATTATTCAGCCTCAGGTATGCTTTTGTAGCAATGCAAAACAGACTAACACAGTGATGCTTACAACAGCAGCAACAATGACAACAACAAAGACCACAACTCAAGTTCTCATTTTCATATCAATTGGCAGAAATTATCTTTATTAGAAAAATGAAATTTTCCTGTATTTACATTTTTACACCATATGACCGGGCACTTCTGTTGCCTCAGGAGTTATGTACATATCAGTTTGCACACACATTTCAATCCCCATTCCTTAAAACAGTTGATAACACATTGAACAAAATTAAAAGACATACTACAAGAAGACAACCATAGTATATACTTCCTCTATCATAGAAAGGTGTTAAGCAAACATGTAATTTTGTAGCTATGCTTGGAAATATTTAATACAGTTATTAGCACTTCCTCATGCAGTGGATTAAAACATGACAGATATAAACTGCTGCAGCTGATCAGTGAACATTAATTCCCAAATGAAGACCATAGTGTAGAGCACACAGCTTGCTTTGAGCTCCACCATACAAGAGATCAAGTCACTTCTGATGTGGGTTTTAGATTCTGTTTGAACGTAGCTGTGAATAGAAACCCTCTGCATATGGAGTTCAATCCTAGCCATATTGGGTTAAAAATGGACTCAGACATAAACCTGGATAGCTGCTTAATTCAGTTAACTTTCTTGCAGGCAATGACCAGCTTGCGTATTATGCAACAAGTCATTTTATTAATACGTGAGTGAAAAATGAATCATTTACTCTCTTTTTCTGAGAAGGCCATTATTTATAATTTTTATGATCTAATTCTTATTCAAGCCACCAATAAACTCACCTTATTTTTTCTGAACATTCAGCTTGAAAATATGTATACTATACATAAACACATACACATAAACATTCTGGGGTGATATAAACTACGGTGAATTCTGCCAATTAATTCAGCAAGTTTAAGCTTATAAATTTGTTTTGGCAGGGGAATGAACAAGATTAAGATTCATAGTTAAAAAGAACTGGTAAGGAAATCTTAGGGGACCCTCAGGTTTGGACTGCATCTGAGCCACATCTAGCTATGTCATTGCTGTGTCAAGCAGTTTTCTGCATTTTCTATGAAAATGTGATTCTTGAATTTATATCTTAAGTAGACAATTAGCATCCCTTCCCAGTGAAAAATTTGGGTAATATGAATGTTACAAGTTACACTTTCATCTTTTTAAATTCATCAAAATTTTCAAACAAGATCACCTGGATTTGGCTCAAATTAGAAGCCTGAATCTTTTGTTTTTAAATTGAAACATTCTATAAGTGGTCATGGCCCCAGAGCTGGGTCTACAAACTTAATAAACTAGAGTTTAAAAAATTAAAAAAGATTTAAAAAGTCAATACTGTTCATTCATTCAGATTACCTTGACTGAGAATGGAAATAACTCAGTAAGTCTTAGATGGCTAATGTAGAAACTTCAATTGAATTTAAAAAGCTATGGTTTTTTTCATGGAAAAATACGACAATGTTTTCATATTTCTGGACCTTCACTCTTTGCTCAGTTATCAGTAGTCTTTGATTTGAGCCCTTTAAAACTTAAAACAGCAAAATGTCAGATCAATGGGAAGTTTTTAAAACGCCAAAGACAAACTCATGTTTGCTGGAGAACAATTAACCTTATTAATTTGAAAGGCAGCTGTGGTATTGGCTACGAGTAACGTTAATATCCTATTGAAGGTTCATCTTAAATCTTTCCTAAAGGTGTGAAAGAGAATTAACTGGAAGAGGTCATGACCCAGGGCTAATGAAGAATGTTCTAGGATTGCAATAATGCAAACTCACTGTTTCACTGACAGAATACATAAGAGAGAATTATGAATGATAATCTCAGTTTTGTCTTCTTTGTGTAGACTGCTGACACCTTATCTGAGGAAGTTAATCTGAGGGATGACTTCATTTTAAGCAATTTAGTTCTGGTTCCCTGGAGAGAGTTGCATGGTTTGAAATACAACCCCAGAGAAGAAACACTATTGGTCAAATTGTTCTTTAGAGTGCTCCATTTTCGCATAGCTCAATATTGCAAGGAGAATATTGTCATGCACTTGTAGACCCAACAACGGGATCTCCAAAAAACAAATAATAACAATCTATCTTAAAAGACTTTTTACTGCCAGCTTGAAAGATGAAAACAGCTGAGAAATTTTTTCTCAGAGACTAGGACTTCACTTGCTTTAAGTTAGCTAACCCTCCAGAGAATTCACGGAGACTCTCACAAAGACATTCCTTTAAATCGCCCCTCAGGGTCCTCGTCCATAAAAATGGGCCTAATGCACCCCTCACCTCTCAGTAGATATAAAGGAGTGTGGCTTAAAACATGGAGAGAGGGGAATGCAGGAATGTATTCTCAGCCGCATGCCTGCAGGGTGCGTCAAACACTAGGCCACTCTGGGCACCTGTAAAGCCCAGTGGAAACATTCCAATTCAACACTCTCCAGTGGAACAGAATAACCATCACTATCTCAATACTAGTGAGCAGGAAATTATCTCCAAGACAATTTGGAAAAGAAAAAAATAGAACAGACCAAGAAGGAAAACAACAACAACATTTTAATAGCTGGCCCTCAATCATTCTGACTACCAAAGCTCTCCATCATTCATGCAGAAACTATTTCCTATTCCCTGTCCCACCTCCAAAACTCATTCTGTCTGCTTGGCAAAGATAACCAAACATAGAGGTGAAATAGGAGGAACAGTCAACTTGCAAATAATATCACCTCTTTGAACATGGATCACAATATTTAGGAGAACTTTAATGGAGGGCCACATGGTTCTGTGTGTGTGTGTCTGTGTGTGTGTGTGTGTGTGTGTGTGTATGCACACACATATGAGAGCATGTACTATGTACATGTGTTTAATGGAATTAGCCCTGATGTTGACTGATAAAAAGATGAGACATTAGGAAAGAGATATTTAAGATTAGGCACATGCTAAGTAGAGAAAATGACTCCCCAGGAGTTTAAAAAAAATGCTGAGTGCAAGCATATGAAAGGGAGACATAATCAGTGTTCAAGTCTCAGAAGGGACTATGAACACAGGTGAGATCCCCAGAAATTCTCAATACACCCAAATCAGGCAATGAGGGGTAATACCCTGACAAACGGCCCTTATACTCAAGGGTATAAGCCTAGGAACCTCAAAAGAGCAGACCTCTCTTTCTGACTTCTATTCTGACCTCCCTGGAGGAGACCAGGCACTTCAATACTATGTCTAACGTAGGGATTTACTAGCTAATTATGTTGCTGATGAGGCTGAGAAAAACCTGAGCCTCAGTTTCCTTATCTGTAAAATGGGAGCAATCATATTTATATCTTAAGGTTATTTTGAGGATCACATTCTAGGATATGCCTAGAATATAGACTACACTCAATTTAGATATATTTTGATATTTTCAAATTCAGGTGCAGGTCCACGGCAAGTACTTGCGATAAGCAGAAAATATAACATTCCAAGAACGCACAGAATGGGATGGACAGAGTGACAAAAGCTCCCTCTCCACCTTGCCATACTTCCTGAAATACACTTATGTTCTTTTTGTCATCTCTTTGCCCCGTTTTCTCTCTAGGGAACCTGATGCTTTCTCTTTTGTCAGCCACAACAGTAGGCACTTGGAACTTGACAAAGAACTCTCCCTCCACCCTCCCCTGATACATGCATACCCTGATCTATCAAAAGGGTTCTTCAAACGTCAAAAACGAAACCAAACAAAAAAAGCTTTCGGGAAATGCTTCATCTTTTTACATCATGGTCTATTTTCTAATCCTTTGGGGAATTTTTTCAACCTTTTCTTGAGGCACGTGTCATAATGCAAGGCTGGGAGAAGGCATGATTTGGCAAGGATTGGAGAACTGGTTTGGAACCAGACCCAAGCCTGCCTGTGCAAAAATGTAGGCGTGTGAAGGTGTTCACCTGGTTAGTGGCTCCTGGGTTTCCTAAGCACTTTCTTTGAAGATTAAAATAAATCAAGTGCATTTCCAGGAGCACTAACTCTATTCTCCAGAGTTACTTAAAAATTTGGGGAAGGATTTTTTCTTAAAAAAGAAATTTGCTCGTAGAATCAGATTAATTTTTTTTTCATGGCAACAACTTTAGTTGTCATTTCTAATTTTTGCTGTTTAGTCTCTGTTTGCATTTCACGGGTCCTCGGTTATCTTTTGTATCAGAGAACTGAACTTCTAAACCATAAGCTACTTGTGGGAAGAGACTGTATTTTCCATTAATTTTTCATCCCCTCCTCACAATCCCAAACTGGCTTTCAAAGTAAAGTGGACATTCAGTGAAATTCTATTAGCTGCTCAATGTGCTGGTTTATCCTCAATGCATGGTACATAGAACTAAATTATTTCAGTGGTCACTGCCAGCCTTTATCTTCAGTTTGAGGTTTTAAATAATATCCCTTGTTGATTCTTCTTAAGGAGATGGTCTCTGAAAAAAGTTTACTATCTTCTAGGAACTTTAAGACAGGGATTGTGAGGGAGTTTAAAGGAAAACCAAATTCAAGGAAGCATGGGTAGGTCTGTCTAGGGAGAGAAGCAAAAATAAATAAATAAATAAATAAATAAATAAAAATAAAACAAATAAAAAGCCAGGTCAGCTTTATGGGGATCTCTGCCTCTTATTCCAGAGGTATTCAGGAGTGTCCCTTAAAAGAAATCTAGAAATAAATCAGCCTGGTCAGAGAACTGAGCCAGAAATTGAACCATGTCTTGGATCTAATCCTTGCTCTGATACTCTCTAATTTGATTATTTTAAATAGGCGACTGCCCATTTGTAAACTTCATTTTCTTCTCTCTCCTTCCCTTCTCTTAACTTTTGGTGTGGTTCTACAAACGTTTTCTAAGACCCTTCTGGGCAGGCACTTCTAGCTTATACTATACTGAAAGTACTGCTGGGCACAGAAAAGAATGCAGGTGAGGAAATAAGATAAGGAATTTAAATAGGAAATCTATATCCTTTGAAGGGTTTAAAGAAATCACACACAAGTCCATATCAGCATTGTCTTTAGGAGCAAATGTGAGCAGAATATATTCTGTTCCCCTCATCCCAGAGTTTTGTTTTTTAAAGAAGGGGCCAAGAACGCCAACACCCAAATTCTACTTAGGCTCCATCATCCTCCCTACAACTGAGATTAAAAAAATATAGTGCCCTCTCTACAGAAATATCCTCCCATAAAAATAGCCAGAATGGGTTTTCCATGTGTTAATACCATCATCACCATTTAATTTTTAACATAAACTTTACAATATGTACAATTTTATTTGGATAATACACTTATGTGTGAATTGTAGAAATCAAGCAGTTGTATTCACAGGATAAGTGCATTTGATCATCTCTGATCTATATCAAGTGGCAAGCTGACCTCATCTGATACAATTAGATATGAACACAGTACAATGTATAGGGATTGAATGGGAAACAGTAACTGCATATTGGGAGAACTTTTCAAGTATAGACCCCACATCACTTTCAACCCTGCTCACCAAAAGGAGATGGGGTATCTGGAAAGGTCTAATTTTGTCTCCAGCAAAAATAAACAGTACTTTTGGAAGGAAAATTGCCTTTACATAGAACCCTTCACTCATATTAAATATGAACTAACACATTTAGCTTCCACCTACTCAATTTTTTTTTCATTGAGTCCAATTATGTCTATGATAGCCATGGTTAATACAAACAGGCTCCATTTCAGAAACAACTCATGTCCCCTTTTCAAGGATTCATGCACAACAGATATGCACAAAAAAACAGTACAGGAATGTGCATAATGTTAATGAATATATCCAGCTCCTCTGTAAGGTATTTAGATTTCTCAAATTAGTGTTTATTTAGGTCTTAAACCACAAGGGATTTCAGTACAAGGTACTTATTTATATGACAACTGATTATTAAAGCTGCACTTTTTAGATTTAAAGGAGATAAATTTTTAATCACCATTTAATTAACATCAACAGTTTTTTTTTCTTTTTCATTAGCAATTCTATTTGCAAATAATTCAGGGCATTTGTCATTTCCTGAGAAGGATGCAGAATATTAAATACACATCAGTGGTCGACATATCAAATAGAATAAACAATGTGTGACTATATGACAGCCGTGGATCTCTTGACTAATTAACTGCCTTGGCTAGAGTCCCATTTAAGTGAAACTATTTCATTTGTAAACAAGGTGTAATTTTCTTTTTTTCTCCCCAGAAAATAAGCATGAAATGATTTGACAGATTTTGCTGCAATGGGTGAATTTTAATGCTTTCTCCAGAAAAGCTAAATACTAAGACTCTCAGGAACCCTATGAAGCAGGGAAGAGAAAGCCAAGAGTAATCCGTGGATGCCCAGTCATGGTGCTGGCTAAAATAATGCAGAGAGATTTGCAGAGGACATAAGAGTAATGAGCGGTGAGATTATAATCCTGCATGTCTCCCTGGCAGAAAGATAGACCTCTAGGGACTTGCCAGCTCAGAGCATTGAAACCATAAGTGGCCTAAGAACCTGCAGATGTAAAGATGATGAAACTCACTTTCCAGAAACACAAAGGTTTCTCAAGTAGAGTTTGTGCTCTAGAAGATTCTCTTACACAGAGTATTTCAAATTGGTTGCATGTGCGTGCTATTATCCATGGACAGAGACCCAACCATCTGCATTCAAGTATACCTATCTGAGGACCAGCTGGGTCCTTTTCAAGTGGGGAAAACCAGAGTTAACAAAATATCATTATGGATGCCAGCTCTGACTTAAGCCAGCTGAACTCAGGCATTTGTGTGCAGAGATTTGGGCTCCTTTCCAACAACAAATCTAAGATTTCAGAGCTGGGATATGTTGCAGGAATCTTTTGTGATGGATCTATAGTCCCAGGCTTCCTATTTAATTTTTGTTACTTCTCATACTGTGGGTTCCATTTACCACTGGACATTACATTCCTGATATTCTTTTTGCAAAAACTGAACTAACTTAGATGACTTTTGAATAACTCTACATCTTTCCCTTAGAAATTAACCATCTGATCAGTGTTTGATTTTTTTTTTCCTTTGGTTTGGCATCATCATGTTGAAGAGTGAGTCAATTAGTAGAGAAGGGAAACCAAAAACTTTATGTAGCATAAAATTTCTGATTATTTATTAAAAAAACACTTTGGGTAATAAAAAAAAAAAGTATAGTTTTTTTTTTTTTCACATTACTGTTGGTTCTTCCAAACGCCACGTTTTCAGTTTCTTTATCCAGAGATGTATGGGGTGAATAGCTGAAATAATGCTGCTGTTAGGGGAAGGCTTTTTGACCGATGAAGTCAGTCCAAGTATAACTCTCACTCTCCTTGAAGGCCTCTGTGGCATATGGCAGCCCTCTGGGTTTAGAGGATGTCAGAGGAAGACAGAAAGCCTCTTTGTCTTGATGACAAATCACTGATCTATATTCTGGGGAAACTTTTTAATTCATTCATGTCAAAACAGCTCAGAATTGTGAGGAAATGGAGGTGATCCTTGCTGGGGTGGATGCAGGTCTGGAACGTAGTAGAAGAGCAGAAGGTAGAAAGGGCTGAAAGACTACACAGTCACGGAAATTTAGATTTAGGATCAGAAGTTGGGGTGACTATTCTAGGCCCTTCAATCCAGACTTCTCTATTGTTGGATCTTGGGGCAATAGAGGTACAGCATCCGGGAATAAAGTATCATTTTCAAGCACATGTGTCCCCAGTACCTAATCAGCCCCTTCTCCCTTTCAAAAAGGAAAGGAAGACCCTCTGGCCCACTGATTCCCACTGTCTTCTCTACCACTGACCCTGAAATTGATTGCAACCAGTTTTCATCATTATAGGAACATTGTAGGCTAGGTGTACTTTCCCAAAGATGGAGCTATTCCACATATCCTGGAGCTTTAAGAGAGTCATCCCTGGCACTTTCCCACGTGCAAGAAAATAATACAAAACAGAACACACACCATGAGGAGAAGAAATGGGATCATTTTTCAACCCGTCACTTTATCCCTTTCTTCAAGAACGTAAAACAGAATGCAGGAGGAAACCAGGAAATGGCCCGATGAGTCTATATTAGCTTAGGTTTCCCTAGCATGATCCTAAACAGACTGAGGTCTTCTGCAAACACAGATGGCTAGTTATCCCAAATACTTCAAAAATATTCATGTACATGAAATATACTAATTAACAGAGTAGACTATATAAAAGGTTTAGTTAGTATTATTTGCTGGTTTTATGAAATTTAATGTTTAAACTAGAAAATCCTGATCTGATAAAGTGTCATAACATAGCAACTATCTTGTGGGGGGCACTTTTTTTTTTCGTAGCAGGCACTGTGCTAACAGGCTCCCCATGCATAAGTATTCCCCTCTCTGGCTCTAACTTTTTAAAAAATGGGTATTGTTTCATTTCATATACACACAGGTGTAAGAATAAGAATGGATAATACAGGTGACTCAGAAATGACAAATGCTTTGAGGAATTTTCCCTATATCTCTGTTGGTGCTATGAAGCAGTTTGTCACCAATAGAGAGAATAATTCAGAAGGGAGAAATCACCTGTCTAACTAAAGTCTATCCACAGTTTGGAGGATACTCAGGGTAGATGCAAGAGTGTCTCATGTGTTGAAGACTTTTGATGTGAGGAGGTTGGGGTGGAAGTGAGTGGAACAGAATTTCTTGATGTGAAGGAAGATTAACCTAAAATCATGCTAGCCTTCGGCAGACAGATGGCATTGCACTTCTTACAGATCACAGTAGACACACGGCTGTTGGTGCATGTCACCACATTAACAACTCTGGGAAGAGCGATACACAGCTAACTGGACACCAACATGGCTGTTTGGAAACTGAACGAGTTATGGTCACTCTGGGAGGGAAGGGGTAACAGATACTATACAACCCTGAGTCATCACCAGAAGGGAGGAAATGCAAACTTACGTACATAGGCGTCTTCAGGATAAACTACAATGGCCACTGTGTCACAGACAGAAGATCCACACTTAGAGCTCGGAGACATAAATGTGTTAGTTTATGCAGCTCTGAACAAGACCATCGAAGCCGAGGGTGAGAGAAACACACATCAACATCCAAAGAGATTCCTGTAGCTCTCTCTCCGCCTGAGGGTCCCTCGGGCCTTTGGCTCCAGATGTGTCTTGGAAATGAACTATAATGAAGGTAGCATAGTCACCATGAGCACACTGATTTGCTATTCTTTGGGGGAGCCTGGAGTTCTTGGGGTGAGCCTGGGCTGTGATGGAAGGCATAACAAGAAAGCTGAAACTGTTACGAGCCAAACTTCCTAATCTCTTGCACATGTCAATCTCACTACAGTGCAGATGCATTCTTAACTGTTTTTATTTTGTCTGTGTCAGGTTTACATGCATACCATATTGCTTATTCTGTATTAGAGAAACCATTAGGCATTCTGATGAGAAAATTACATGGTGGACTGACCTTAATGGAATTTGGAATATAGGAAATGATAACATCACCATTGGCATCCAATGCATCATTATTGCCAACATACCTAGTAGGCATTTCCCAGAGACTTGCCCTTATGTGTTTAGTTATTTTTGGTTAAGGACTCACCTATCTGGTGTCTGCCATGCTCAGCACACACCTCACAAGATTCCTTGAGTGGAAGATTATGGCATGAAGCCATGTGCAAAAGAGCCAACAACAAAAAAAAATACCTCCCTACATCTTCTTCCTCTTAGCAGGGCACTATTGGACATCCAACATTTACCCTCCAGAACGTTGGTCATTACGTATGTTTCCCTATAGATAAAACATTAATGGAAGATTTTTAAACATCAGATTCGATACTAGGCATTTTCTTGTACACGCGTCTATTGCTGCAGGAATTTAAAACTCTGGGGGTAGAGTACATATTATTCTTATTTGCAGCATAAGGCATAACATGCTCCGAAATATACACATCATTGTGGCCCCGACTGTCCCTGGAGCAGTACGATGCCGTTGACCTCAAGGACGACCGAAGATAGCTGTCATTCACCGCCTGGGATGGCAACGAGTGTTTGTAAGGGTCCGAGGGGCATCTCCCAATAACCAAGCGTTGGTCATCCCTGTGGGAGTGGAGGAAAGGGTTATCGGAGGTGTGGTCTGGCAAGAGAGACTTGCTCCTCTTGCTGTCCTCCAGACCTTGGGGAAAAAGGGAGCTTTTTTTCCCCGAGAGTTTGCTTGAGGGGACACTAAACAGGCTGCCGTAAAAATTTCCCTCCAGAAGCCGTTCCCTGTCCTTGAGGCTTATGCTCCGGGAGGGCCTGCTAAGGTCTATCTCCCTAGGTTTGTCGACAATGTTATCGTAGGAATGCTGACGGCTAATCCTTAGCTTGTTCTTTTGTAATTGAAGGGCATTGTTCTGTGCCCAGTCCTGCTGGTAGACCTGCTCCCGGGTGGCTGGGTTACCTGTCTCCTGAAGCATCTGGTCTTCATCGATGTCATAGAGGTTCCCCATCCGCAGGCAGGCATCGCACTTGAAGGGGGACCTCATGGTGAAGTGGCCTGAATAGGTGGGCAGGTTGGAAAGGCAGCTTCTACAGTGCGTGGAGTTCTGCCGGTATCGCTCGCTGGTCTCACTGTGTGGGGAACCCTTGTCTTTCAAGGTGAGGTGCTTGGAGTAGAGTTTATACTGCTCATTGTTGGGAGGCCCCTCTTCGTTATGCAAGGGGTTCCGGTTTATTGGCAGCGTGGAGTCTCCCTTGCGGAAGTTTTCACTGTGATCCTGGTAGGGGTCTGGGAAGTCCACGTTCTCGGGCAGGGTCACGTTTTCAACATACTTGGGTGGATCTAAGTGGAAACCAGGCTCCTTCTCACCATCAATAGTGTAGATCTTATCTCTGGGGGAGCTTGATTTGGTTTTCAGGTAGGTGCGCTCGACCTCGCTACAGTCCTTGGGGTATTTGGAACCCACTGGCCTCTTAAAGTTGTCCTTGGTTTTGTGGTTCTTATTGTTGTCAGGTTCCCTGTGGCACGTGGCCCGACTCGACGTTTCTGAAATGTCAGAATGGGCCATCTCTTCTGGAAGATACCTAGGGCTCTTTAGGGAGTGGGTCCTATTCTCCACTGTCCCCTCATCCCTCTGGGAGGCTGGATTCTGGGATAGTGAATCCTGGCGTATAGAATCCATGGATTTCTTCCAAAGCTGCCGGGGTCTAGAGTTCACTTTGGATTCTGTGCTCACGGCCACCTCCACTGTGTTAGGGTTGGACTCATTGAGAGTAAGAGGATGTTGTCCCTGGAAAACATAGTTATTGAGGTTATCCTTTTGCCGGTTGGCCACAAATGTTTGGAGTTCGTTCATGTTGTCCCCAAAAATGCTCTCTTTCCCCTGAAAGGACCTATTGTCCGAGTACATCAAATTTCCCTTATCTGAAACCATGTCCATGATGAGGGAACCTCTTTGGATAAAGTCAGCAGCTCTTTTGGGTGAGTCTATTCTTGAGGAGTTCATGTTGGACATGTTGGAAATGTTTTTGGCTGACCGGAGGAGTTTTAACATGTTGCTCTGGGATCCTGTCAGATTGAAGTCTGGAGACTTCTTCTTTTCTTCAATGTGCACTCCGTGAATGCAGCTGTAGATGCCCTGTGGGGGAGTAACATAAAGCACCGTCAGCAGCAGCAGCAGCGAACATGAAACCACTTTGCACTTGAACTTTACCTGCAAAGGTGAGATATGTACTTCTTGCAGGAGCCCTGGAGAAACAGCGAAATTCAGTTTGAATTCTGATAACATCTCTTAAAAGTTTTAGATAAGTTGCAAAGCATAGGGTTTATCTTATTGCTCTGGCTCAAGATTAGCTGACACCTTTGCAAAGAATCACACATGGAGTTTGAGAAAAAGTATCAACCAACGCTCATACAACTGTCAATGCCTCAGTGTCTCCAAAGTGGCATACAAAGACAGACAACTGAGGCTCCTAGTACCCAGGTCACCAATTCAAGCTTTTATTAAAGTTTCCCAGCATCATCTTTGAAGCTTAGGCACCAGAGAGTTAACTATTGAAAAACAAAGTCAGCATGAAAGGATCATCCATTGATGGCCAAGCGTGGTGGCTCACACTTGTAATCCCAGCACTTTGGGAGGTGAAGGTGGGCAGATCATGAGGTCAGGAGATAGAGATCATCCTGGCCAACGTGGTGAAACCCCATTTTTACTAAAATAAAAAAATTAGCTGGGCATGGTGGCGCACGCCTGTAGTCCCAGCTACTCAAGAGGCTGAGGCAGGGTAATTGCTTAAACCCTGGAGGCGAAGGGAGCGATATCGTGCCACTGCACTCCAGCAGCCTGGAGGCAGAGCAAGACTCTGTCTAAAAAAAAAAAAAAAAAAAAAAGAAAGAAAGAAAGAGAGAAAGAAAGGATTATCCATTGTTAACTCTTTTCTGGAATTACCTCTACTGTTATGCAAAAGCTAACAATTAAAGAATGTGTCCTAAGTGGCCAATCAGAAAATCTCTTTTCCACATATACATTGATTCATCTAAAGGAAGGCATGAAATTCATGTGAGAATCATCAAACTCTTTTTGGTGGGATAGATACAGATGCTTGGATAGAAGGAATTGCAACCTTACCATCATGTGGGAGTGTGAGCCTATCAGTGAAGCGACTGTAGTGAAAAGTATAGCCCAAGAGATAAAGACATGGTTTGAACCCCTGGAGCACTCGCTTGAATGTTTTTACTTAATCCACTCAAACCATTCCTTGTGTGTTTGTATGTGAGTCTATTCAACATAGTTAGAACTGGGTTTTAGTTACCAGTCATGATGAAGAGTTCTGATGACACAGTGACACCGCCTTTGAATCCATCCAGGGAACAGAATGACTTAGGGGCTCCTAGGCAGCCCAAATACAAGCACCCCCATCTATAGGTCTCTTCCTTTTCTACTCTTTCTTCCTTCCAGAAAACAACTGTTTATGTTCACTTAAAAGTAGCTGTTTAACTGTTTTGAAGGGAAGAGCCCTTGATTCACGCCACAATAACAGGCAAAAGAACGTCTGGTACATTTTGATCTTTGGCCTCCCCTGCTTCTTCCCACTCCTACCCCAGATTTCAGCAGCTGTACCTACAGGAAACAGTCAGATCAAGGCCGCAGGATTTGACCTGGTATTCCCAAGGTGGACAGGAAGCCAACCCATGAAGGAGTTTGTAAGGCAGAATTGGCCATGGCTGCTGACTTTGGTATAAACTACAGGAAAGTATGTGTGATTAACTGTGGACTCTGATCATGGTGGCTCCATCAGTCCCCTATGGCGGGGATGAGCTCACCCCGCAGGGATGCTCACAGAACTGTGACAGCCTCAACTCATTTGCACTGCTACATTTTTCTTGTAGTAGACAGTCTCTTCACTCCAGCCTTCAAGGAACCGTAAACACAAAAGCCTAGAGCTGCAAGTTTGAGCTGCTTTTTCTCTGATCCTCTCTACCCCAGGCTTCATGGTTGATGAAGGCCCCCTGAGGCCCAGGACACTGACATTATGCCCTTTCCTGCCTTCCTGCAAACTTATCTGTGGTCTCCTTCTATGTATAATGTGTGCTTGGCTGTTTGTCCTGCCACAAAATAACATCTGCCCCTGCCCTCACTGCTTCGAGAGTTGCTGGAGCATCCAGGCTGTGGATGTGGAAATCTTACAAATGAGCCATGTATTTCACATAGTACAGAGTTGTATAACCTGTTATGTTAACCTATGTCTTTCTCACCTAACCTTGTAATCTAACAATCTTTTTATTTATTATTTTGAGACAGAGTCTTGCCCTGTTGCCAAGGCTGGAGTGCAATGACACAATCTCGGCTCATTGCAACCTCTGCCTTCCAGGTTCAAGTGATTCTCCTGCCTCCGCCTCTAGCTGGGCTTACAGGTGCACACCACCACACTCGGCTAATTTTTTTGTATCTTTAGTAGAGATGGGGTTTCACCATGCTGGCCAGGCTGATCTCGAACTCCTGACCTCGTGATCTGCGCACCTTGGCCTACCACAGTGCTAGGATTACAGGTGTGTGCCACTGCGCCCAGCCAATAATCTTATACTCTGACCCAGAGGGATTCTCCCACTATGGTTGAAAATTAGTATGACTCTATTTGTCAGAATCAGCTGAGGTCTGTGCCTTTTCTTCCCATTTTATGAAAACAGAAGTTTTAAAAATATTTTTTCCCTTAAATTTGTACTTTAATTCTAACACACTCCCTTCTGCCACCTGGAGAGTCTAAGAACTGCCCTCCACCCCTCCACCCTCAGAGTAACATGTTCTGACTGCCAAGATGAGCTGGCTGTCTTTCTATTTGGAGGAGGCCCACAGAAGTGATCAGGGAGATGAGTTATGTTGCAGGAGATGGGAGGATGGCTGTTGGTGGCTACCTCTCATCCCTGGTTTTCCTGGGACTCATGCAGCATAGCTAAGGCAGTTCCCAGGTGTTGATTGGCCTGGTGAGGCCATGGAAAAGAGTCAAAGTGGTGGACCCAGTCTCTACTCAAGGTTAGTTGGTTGTTTAGAGATAGAGTCTCACCCTGTTGCCCAGGCTGGAGTACAGTGGTGCAATCATGGCTTACTGCAATCTCAAACTCCTGGGCTCAGGCAATCCTCCTGCCTCAATCTCCTGAGAAGCTAGGGCTATAGGCATGCACCATCAAGCCTGGATAATTTAAAAAATTTTTTTAGAGATGGGGTCTTTCTATATTGCCCACACTGGTGTACCCAAGGTTTTGATGATAGCATTCTCCAACTGAGCTGATCCATCTTCTAGAAGGGCTGTTGAGGAGAGGGAATGCATATTAAAGAATAACAGGAAGATCCAGAGGCCTGGAATCCACTAGATGTGAGTCCTAGCTCCATCATGGATTAGCTCTGTGACCTTGCATAAGCCACATCTATTTTAGCTTCAGTTTCTGCATCTGGAAAATGGGAATTATGCCCTCTTAAGTTGGGCACTAGGGCAAGGTAAAATAATGTAAAAAAGCCCCTGACACCATAGGTGGTCAGTACATGTGAGCTGGACAAACTGCCTAGTCATCTCTGACCTTCCCTTCTTTACCATCACCTTGTCTCTCCTTTCACAGGAGCTTAAGCATGCAGTGACCATATGGTTGAAGCTTCAATAAATGCATGCCACTCTCTACTGCTTACGATTTGCTCTTGGAAGCCACTTTGGCTTTCTGCTTATACAAGCAGACCAAACCTTACCTTGGGAACCAAGTAAATCCCTGGGATAGAGTTTCCTTCTTAGTTGCAACAGTTCTGTCTTTATTTTATCTTCTCTATTATTTATAGATCCCAGCTACATTTTATGGGTTGTGGAAATAAGAGGCCGTCTTGGTCCAACTGTGGGCTCAGAGTCAGATAAAATTAGTGTTGATGACTCAAGGTGTTGTTCCAGGCAATTTTCTCTGCTCTCCTAGATGGTGCCTGACCTCTCAGAATATTCTCAGTGGGGCATGAGTCTACTGTCCTCAGTCCCTTTGAGCCTGGACCCCATCCCTAAAGCATCTGATATCTGTGGATCCCAGTAGTGGGTTAGCATAAGGTTTTGTCCATTATGTTCCAGCCTCCCTGATCAGATCTTACTGGAAAGGCTGCCTGTTTTCCTTCCCCTGATTTTTGGCTTTGCTATGTCTCTCATTCCTCACTTTTCATGAGACAACTGAGGCAGCTCTATTTTGCCGATGACAGTGAATTCTTTTATTCTAAATGGGAAGGAAAGCATTTTGGAGAGAAAACAAAAGTTAAGAGCATGCCAAAGGCAGGAGGTTGCATTTTTGTAAGTTGTAAAAGCCAAGGACCACCACCCTGGGAGAAGCTTGGTTCCAGTGTCAAACAAATGCCTTTTTGGAGTGCTGGCCTTCTCCCTCTGCAGTGCCAGGCATACATGTATCTCTAGCTTGTATTTGCATTGCACTGTGCAGGGGCCTCCCTGGGAATATTGAGCCCATGAGAAGGGCTATATAAATCTGCTGCATGGTAATAGCTCTGCATCTATTGACTGGATATTCATCTTGCTGAAAGGAGAAGTACTGGTAATGGAGAGATCCAGTTTCTGTGCAAAACCAAACCTGCCTTCGGGAGGGAGTAAATTTCACAGCATCCTGGATCAGTGTCTTTTAGAAAAAAAAAAAAAAAAAAAAACACCTAAATTCTTAAGTAGACTAAAGCCTGCAACCCAACCTCACATTAACAGACAAGTTCCCTCTTTCATATCTTTTTCTAGTGTGATAGATGAAGTGAGATATTTCCTGTTGCTTTAGGGAAACATATGGTAAAGCCACAGAGGTAACCTTTGGGGCTTCAATTTCACCATCCATAGGATGGGGGTCTGATCATGTCAATCTCAGAGGGCATTATGAGGATTAGAAATAACAAGTCCTCATCCACACATGAGGCATAATTCATTTTGCAGTTGTAATCTTGCATTTGTGGAAAGTAGGTTCTTTGCCTGGGAATTTCCCACTGCAGATTTTGTGAAAGAAAATGATTGTGTGTACACAATGAATTCACTTTTGTTTCTGTGTGTGCTCTCCATGCTATGTAAACCTATGTGTAAGATGGCATATGTGTGAATGTCCATAGAAGATAAACTTTAGCAGTGGCAGTAGCCCTTGACTAAAAGGAAGGTCTCTCTTTTTTTTTTTTTTTTTTTTTTTTAAAGAAAGTCAGAGCTTTGCTGGGCACCACATCAGGGGCTGAGACTATTTTGAGAACCCCTAAGTAATGAGAGAGGCAGGAAGGTATCACTCAGTATGATATCTTCCTATTCAGACACATCAGGCTGCACTTACTTGAAAAGACATATTATCTGGGAAGAAGGAGGGTCCTCATAAGCAGGGCTCCCTGAAACCTCTGAAGCAATAATGATGGCTGGGAGTTCCCAAGGGAGCATAGAAGTCCCTACATTGCTCCCATAAAACTTGGGCTCCTCTCCTCTAGGGATGGAGAGGGCAAAATTCAAATTCCAGCTGATCAAGGAACTCTACCAACAATGCCTGCCCTGGGCTGCCCGGTTTGACTTCCATTCCCATCCTTTGGAAAGGAAGACAGGGATTCAGTTCATTTCTTAAAATGTTGATCACATCAACTTGGCTTCCTTAGTGGTGTTTTAGAGAGAGGAAATGTGCTTCCAAAAACAAGCAAGATTTAGAAGTAAACGCAACAGTGTGCATTTGTTTGGTGATAATCCTAGAATCATTTGGATATGAAAATCCTTTGGTAATTGGCTGGGAGAATCAGCTTAAAATTGGCATAATACCTAGCTATATGCACATACGTTGTTATTTTTAAGTAATCTGTGTGTTTAGATGCCATCAAGCTAATTAGTAAATATGTATTCGCACAGAATCCGAGTTTGGAGTGCAATTGAACGGAGAAAATGAATCTTCCTCACTAAACTAATATGTACCTTCTGAATCTCCCCAAAGTTCTTGAAACTAGCAAATGCTAAGAATGCTAAGAATATGCAAATTTGTTTTAAAGCAATTATTTAGCTTTCCTAGTAAACATTAGCAAATAAAATTAGATGTTTTCAACCAAAATTTTTTTTTTACCATTTTAAAAATCCTAAATAATGAAGCTCTTCGAAAGCAAAAAAAAAAAAAAGAGGCCACCAAGGTGGACAAATAACAGAGATGACTGGATAAATAGATTGGATGCATAGAGGGCTAAAATGGATGAATAGGCAGTTAGATAAGAGGTAGATAGATTATACTGTGCTGGAAGATGCATGAAAAATATTCATGTATATGTTTTTAATATAATGCAGATATGTGACTAAGTTGTGTTGTAAGTGTGGTCATTTATTTATTTAATTATTGTTTTTTTTTGTTTTTTTGAGACAGAGTCACTCTGTCACCCAGGCTGAAGTACAGTGGTGAGATTTTGGTTCACTGCAACCTCTACCTCCTGGTTTTAGGCAATTCTCATGCCTCAGCCTCCTGAGTAGCTGGGACTACAGGCATGTGCCACCATGCCCAGCTAATTTTTTGTATTTTTAGTAGAGATGTGGTTTCACTATGTTGGTCAGGCTGGTCTTGAACTTGTGACCTCAGATGATCACCCCACCCTGGCCTCCCAAAGTGCTGAAATTATAAGTGTGAGCCATGGTGCCTGGCCTGTGATAGTTTATTATGTGAGTTGCATGTACATATATGTTCATAGTATGAACTGTATCAAATCTCTTGCATTGCTTATATGTGATGTTTGTTGCTTGAGGAAGAGTGCTGGCCTTGGCTGGTGCCATACTATCTGGATTAAAGTCCTGGCTCCACTTTATTGACTGGGCAGCCTAGGGTAACTCTCTTAACCTCATACCTTTAAGTTTTGCCACTTATAATCTGGAACAAATAACAGCACATAACTCATAGATCTGGTTATAGATTAAATGAGATGAATATAAAGTCCTTATATTGTGCCTGGTACTTGTAAATGCTGAATAAATATAAGCATTTTTATGATCATTACCATTATTGATGACTTACGTTACATGTACCTTGATGGCAGTATACACAGGACATATTGTGCTGCACAAAAAGGGGTTTTCCGGTATTGCACAGGAGCTCAGAATAGCATGTGTATTCTGTGCTGTGGTTTATATTGGGTTGAATGTATACTTTGTTTTCTGCTTGATATGTGTGCATTTTCTTCTGTTACTTTACATCTGTGTTTCATTTCATGTGCTGTTGGATTGCGCATGCTCTTTATGTTTTGTTAGATGTGTATACATATTGCATAGCATTGCAAGTAGATTTTGTTCTGTTGTGCATGTTCTGTTACAATGCATATGCAAATTGTAACATCTTGCATAACAGCATTAGTAGTGCTATACAGCATACCTGGGTGCTAGCGATGGAAGCCCCAGGCTTTCTGTGTCTGGCCCATGTGTTCTTGAAAATTTTTTAAATGGGATTAGTTACTAATATTTAAAAATGGAAAGGTTTCTCATAAAAACAGATGACAATTTCTCTTTTTAAAAAACCAGAAGAACTGATAATATTGACCCTACATTCCCATAAGACAATACTCAACAGAAGTTGACGATGGCTGTCCCCTATAGGTGAGGTAAACATTATACAATTGGCCACAGTCCTCAGTATTCCCTATCATTCTCTCACTTTGTTGCCAAGGTTTAGCTGCTGTTTCACCCCATTCTTGCTATTTTTCTCATGCTTAGCCTGCTGTACCCACTCCCATTTCCTTTCTGCCTTCCATAGTCATCTAGGTTTGCAACCCCTGGCTTATGAATGTACAAAATCTGGATGCTCTTTTGACAAGCCCAAGAAGGGCTAGTAAGGAGAGGATATGCAGACCCCACTGAGACGTCAAGAACCCATGTGCTTTTCTAAGTCTGCTTGCGGAGCAAGGAAGTAGCTGCCAGGGATACTGACCCTACTGATGGAGAAGAGCAACCCAGGCCGGTCGGAGCACACGCCTGTGAAACAGAAGCGCAGCTTCCAGTAGAAGAGGTGCTCCCAGATGAAGGTGATGAGGCTAAGGGCCATGGCCGCGGCCAGCATGTAGAACACGCCCGCCATGTTGTCAATGTCCAGCTGGCTGCTCATCACCTCGTTCTTCTCATTGTGGCAGATCCCTGTGAGCCACAGGGTCTCCAGCTCCTCCATCTCACCTGGAAAAAAAACACAACATTCACAGGCAGTGAGGATAAGAACATGCACTCTGGGGCAGATGCTTCTGGGTTTGGAACAGACGATGTGCAACTCACAGCTATGTAACCTTAAGGCAAGTTTCTGAGCTTGCTGGGTCTCCATTTGCCCACTTCTTGAATGAAGATAATAATAATTACAAAGCCTACCTAATATTGTCGTGGTGAGGGTGAAATTTATATATATTAGCCTATACAATATTGTTGCAGTGAGGATGAAATTTATACATTTAATCTATCTATCTAGAGAGAATAGAGCAAACTTTTTCTCTATAAACATATTTATATATTATATACATGTATAATATATATAACTTAGCACAGTTCCTGGTTTTGTGTTTTGGAGTTTTGCCTTTTTTTTTGGGGGGGGTCATTACTATGTTTTTCTCACCTGGCTTTTTTTCTCCCACCCCTACCCCCAACACCCACCCAAGCTTGGAACAAGGCATGGTAATAAAAGGGCAACATGTAACAGTAAAAAGACTTCATTGCAATTGTGACTTGATCATCCTTGATCATCTGCTTGCTGCATAACCTCAGAGCTACAGTTACCCTATCTGTGGAACAGGCATAATTAATAATAGGACATACTTCCTAGAGTTGCCATGAGGATCGAATGAGATCAGAAGGTGTCAAATCCCTATAGGACCCAGATCATAATAAGTTTTCATAAGGAGTATCTATTGCTACTATTTATTTTTGTGAAGAAAATGCCTAACACAGTGCCCGGCATATGGCGATCCTCAAATATATTTGTTTATTTTTTTCTCTCTCTTTAGAACATTCAGGATTATTCAGGAAAGTAACACATGACTTGTACACTTAGGGGACAAAAGTTTAATTGAAAAGATATATCCAGCTGGTTCTGAATAGCCCCTTGCAAACTAAACTATCCCCATCGGCCAACTTCAGGAGGCAATTAAAGAACCAGGTGGGTTTTTTCCAATGGGGGTGTGTGGGGGGAAACAGTAGGCATGCTTAGAATTATTCTTTCTCTCTTTTATGTGAATTTTATCCATTGCCATTTAGAGGAAAACTCTCTGATCTAAACGTCTAGCAATTACACAAACTGTCTAGCAATTCACTAAACTATGGCACTTAGACTAAGAGTCAGCCTTTAAAAATGATCTTTCAAGGACAGTAAAAATCAAGGAAGATACATACAATGTTAAATGAAAAGTATGACTATATCTTATATGTGTACGTATACACATTATCTCTAAGATGTAATGGGGGCATGCAGAGGAAAATTAAGAAAATAAATGTTTATATCAATTCTTTTTGAAAAAGTCAATCATAATGATTGATTTAATAAGGGTCTTTTTTGAGTTAGGTGAAATTATCATGTATTGTTTTTGGTTTGTTTTCACTCTTGGGTGATATGGCTAAATATAAAAATCAAAGTTGACAATTATTTTTTCTTGACCTTTTCAGAATGTTAAATTTTCTTCTGATCTGGATGGCAGTTGTTGAAAAGTTGATTGATCTATGCAATCTACATTTTCTCTCTAGTTGCTTTTGAGAACTTCACTTTATCTTTGGTGTGAAATCTAAGTGTGGGTTTGTTTTATTTGTTCTGCTCTGGACTCAGTATGATTCTTCAATCTGAATACTTACAACTTTAATTCTGGCAAAAACTTACCTACTATGATGTTGAATATTACTTCTCCCTGTCGTATCTTTTTAAAAAAGTTAATAGATTTTTTTAACAGTGGTTTTATAGTTACAGAAAAACTGAACAGAAAGTATAGAGAGTTTCCATATACTACCTCTCCCCACCCTCTTCGGTTTTCCCTATTAACATCTTACATTGGTGTGGTACAGTTTTTACAATTCATTTGGGTAAATACCTAGGAGCATTATTACTACATTATACACTAAGTCTGTGTTTTAGCTTTGTAGTCAACTGCCAAACTTTCTTCCAAAGTGGCTGTGTACCATTTTGCACTCCCATCAACAATGAATGAGAGAGTTCCTCTTGTTCCACGCCCTTACCACCATTGATTATCATTGTCAGTGTTAGTGTTTGGGATGTTAGCCACTCTCAGAGGGGTGTAGTGCTAGCTCATTATTTTAATTTGCAATTCCCTAATGGCATATAATAGTCCTATCTCTTTTTTTCCCCTGAAAACTTTAATATACTGTGGACCTTTTCATTCTATCCTCTTGGTTATTCACCTTGTTTTAATATTTTGCATTTTTTTCTCTCTGTGCTGCATGTGGGTGATTTCCAGTAGATATATTTTCCCATTAATTTGTTCTTTGGTTAGTAATATTTATGTTTTAATTTTAACCTATTTATTTTAATTGTGATCTTCATTTGGTTCTTTTATAGTTCTGCCTGTTCTTTTTATCATAGTATCCCAGACTTTCATCATGATTTTTAAAACTTTTATATATTTAATAATTTTAAACCTATAGTTTTTCAGATTATTCCCCCCTGCTCCTCCTCCTGCCTTAATTCTTGGAATTCTCATTCCTCTGTTTGTCGTGTGTTCTGACTCTCATGGTGGGTTACTTCCTTGTGACGTCTATAATTTTTGACCATGAGGTAAACTTCTGCAGAATTATTTTCCCTTTAAGCCCCATGGGACTCCAAGAACACTAGGCTATAGAAACATCACTATAGAGAGCTTCTGGGTTTGCTTCTGCCATGGTTCCAGGAGTTTTCAATGCATGAATTTTTGTATGGAAAAATTTTACTTTGATTACTACACTATTTAAGTAGCATACATTTGAACTCACATACTTGTTTGGGCTTTAATTTCTTACTGAAAGCTTCAAACAGAGGGTAAACCTCCTTGCATTTTCTTCACTTTGATGGACAGAGATTTTCCTAGTTTTGTTTTTACAGACTTAGTGATTCATTAAAAGTCTCAAATGTATTAATCAGAAAAAAAGCACACATGTTAATGAGATTTTTTTAAAAATAGGAAATCCATCCCCTTTTAAGTTCCTCACTCACAAAAATGGGTGCTGATCAATCAGTTATGTAGGTAAAGGGATGGGAAGAGGGCATCTTGATTCAATTCCTTTCCTTCCAACAGCCTCCCATGCTTTCACACAGTCACAAAGTCATGTGAGACTTTGAAATAGTATCTCATTGTCCATCAACACTATCGAAAACTCATCCAAATTTCTCTGCCCACCATGTACCTCAGACCTGCAGGACTGCTTCCTCTTCTCACAAAACACCAATGCCATCCCTTTCAAGATACAATGTAGTGTTGACTTCCCCCTTCCTTTAGAGGTCTTTTGTTTTGTTGAGATGGGGTCTCACTCTAGTAGCCCAGGCTGGAGTGCAGTGGTGCGATCATAACTCACTGTAGCCACAACTTCCTGGGCTCAGGTGATCCTCCCATCTCCACCTCCCAAATAGCTGGGACAACAGGCACATGCCACCATGCCGTGCTAATTTTTTGTATTTTTAGTAGAGATGAGGTTTTACCATCTTGCCCAGGCTGATCTCAAATTCATGGCACAAGCGATCCACCCACCTCAGCCTTCCAAAGTGCTAGGATTATAGGCATGAGCCACCGTGTCCAGACCCTTTGGGGTTTGTGAGGACACAAAAATGGGTCTTCTCACTATGACTCATCAGATTCCCAGAACATCTTCCTTTTGGTGTTGCCCCAAAGAAAGCCAGGTTTGTAAGCCTGTAAGGAGGGCAGTCTGATACAAGAAACATCATCTTGATTCTTATCAGGATGTGAATAAAAAGATTTCCTTCTGCCCTTTGCCCAGACAATACCTCTTTTTAGAGGAAGTCAACATGGTAAAGCAGGCCCTGATTTCAAAAAAGAGCAAATACACATTTCTCATTACCAATTACAGCCCGTTCCAATCATTTTCAAATTAATCATTTCCTGCCTTGTGGCCCTCTTTGTCTAGTGTACTGAACTGTAGTTCAAATACTTTCTAATTTCATTTTTCATTTACTCAAGTATATTGTAATCTCCTGGAGGGAGATCAGGGACCATGTTTTATGGTTTTGATATTTTTCATGGCCTGCAGCATGTAGTGAGCATTGAATCCATATTTTCTGTTTCTGTTTCTTTTCTTATATCCCCAGGCTTGAATTGGGCAGCATTGCAGAAGTGTTCAAATATGTTTAGTGAGTTATTCTACAATATAAATAGAAAAAATACAAAGCAAAGGGGAGCTTGCAGTGGGCTTAAGAGTAAAAGGCTGTGAAATGTGCAACCTTTAGGAAGGGTAAAGCATCAAATGTCATTTTTCCAAGTAGTGGCTCTATGATATTCATTCTGCTGTCAGTTTCTCCTATTAAAAAGAGGCTGTGATCTTTGTCAGTGTGATCTTGTGAACCAGAGCAGGTAAATGGGACAATTAAATCTCTTTCCTGAAGCAGACTCATTATTGCTGGGAAGACACAAGCTAAATGCTCTCCTGGGAACAGATGGAGCCTGGGAGGTTTTAGGGTTGCAGTCAAACCACATTGCTTTTGTCTCGCCACTGGAGAGGACTGGTCCCCACGTAATGCTCAAAGCCCACCTCCTCCAATGACAGTAAGCTCATGCACATTTGCAGAACTTTTTGTGCCTATGGAAACTTGCACCTGTTCTTATAACTGTCTTCAGTGGAGATATTTCTAGCCACAAGTATCTCTGCCAATCTTTTAGTTCTGCACTATCCTGAGGAAAGCTGTAAGTTCAGTACAAGGAGCAAGGTGTCAAGGTCACTCCTTTCCTAATGCTGGCAACATTAAAAGACAAGAGCAATAGAGTTTCAGGAGTCAACTGTCAGAGAGATGCAGAATCTAAAAGGGAACAGGCAAGGATAATTAAGGCAGTGTTGTGTGTGTCTCTAGCTTGCTTCCATTGGCTGCTTGGGTGAGGCTGTAAGAAGGTTGGTTAGATGGCTGGGCGCAGTGGATCAGGCCTGTAGTCCCAGCACTTTGGGAGGTTGAGGTGGGTGGATCACAAGGCCAGGAGTTCAAGACTAGC